GAGCCCTGGAAGCACACAGATATTGTGGAGTCATCTTTCAGGCTCGGAACCCATCCCCGTCCTCCTATGTTCTAGACCTATCTGTAGAGTTTCTTATCTGGGAATCAGCAAGTGGGATCCTTTGGAAAAGATTTTCTTTGAATGTGGGAAAGAAATTCACAGTTCAGCAGTGTCCTCCCAGCATTCCAGGAAGACATCTGGCAAAGCAGAGGCAGAATTTAAAACACAGTGTTCCCCAAAGACACAAAGATTAACAGTTCTGGAGAAATCCAGATATTGGTAGCAACAATATGTTAAAGTGTTTTATTATTTAGTTACATCTTGCCTGAGCATGAAAAAGATATTAACATACTGTCAGCTTACTGGGACATAACCCAAAATAACTCACATTTTTCTTATATTGCTAATTATTTTTCTGAGACTGGCTCACGCTGGTAAGAGAGAGATTTCAAGGCTTTCACCAGATTATTTACTTAAAGAAGTTAAGCATGCCATTATCTGTTCCCATGGAAACACCGAAATACAGTAGATGGAGGAGGAGGTCACTTTGACCATAATTAATATAAAGAATAATGGTTTACAGAGAATCTAGTAAAGGATGCCACAGGAAGCGATGTAATACTTTTACAACTTTTCTTTAGCAGTGCAATTTAGTCATTGGATAAATTTTCATATACCAGTGACACTTGGGGAGTTTTACTAGGAAATTTTTGAAGTGCAACAGTTTTGTCTAGCAAAGTTTTGCAGTTGTTTTTACTCTTGACTCAATTAGAAAATTCTAATATTCAGAATTTTTCTAAAGTATTGGGCAAATATAAAAGTATGACCATATTGGCTTCACCCTTCTTGTGTATACTACAGTTCTTGCCATGTTTTTTTTTTAATAAATGGTTGGTAAATCAGTCATTAATAACCAGAGGCACTAGGTTTAACAGTGCTTTTAAAATCACCGAGGGAAGATTTACTTATGTTCAGTGTAGTTTATATTTAGGGTGCCTTATTGTATCCCCTTTAAAATTGAAAATTGGTAGTCCATATGGAATGTCTCTTAACTAAATATTCCATTTATAAGAAAATAGTGCACTCCTTGGAGATTCTTACTCAAAGATGCACAGTGTGGTTTATTTTTAATCCTAATACTTATTTGAATAGTGGATTTCTTGTGCATTCTCTTAAGGATAAATATTATCATGGAAATTTGATGACACATTCATCAAAACTTTAATTTAGTAGAGTGTAACAGTATTAAAGAGAAAGAGAAATGAAAGAGTTGACCCTTCAAATTTCTGAATTTTTAACACACTGAGAAATCACATGAGGTATGAAATTGGGACTTTGTTTCCTTAAGAGCTGGCTTAAAAAAAATATAATGTAGTCTCTTCCAAGTAGCCTTGTCTGAGAGGTAAACCCAGGATGACAGCCCATCCTAAATAATATTTACAACAGGTGACCTGAAGTCAAGTGGAGTCAATATGTGATTTCTCACCCTTTGAAAAATAGCCACTTTGCTGCCACATGAATGACCAGATTTTTTTTTTTGTAAATATCAAGCTTGAAATCCTTTAATCAGGAATATAAATCAGTTAGTGCTCCGATTATAAAAATGATGATGGGATTGGCTATGGTATTGATTTTTTTTTTCTTTTTTGGTGGGGAAAGCATTACAGCAATCTTTCCTTCCTTTTCTTTTAAATATATCACATTCCTATTCCTGGAATGCAAACAGCATTGTATCCTGCTTGGCAGGCAAAGTGGTCATTTGGCTTAGCCAAGAATAAGAGCTCTCAGCAGTACCATTCCATAGGCCTATAAGAGAGTCCCTAAAATAATGGATGGTGCACTTTCCTATATGTATTTATGTTCAGATAATTTATTTAAATAATGTTGCTGGCACATGCTTTATAGCTGCCTGCATTTTGCTACACAGATTTCAGCATATCTTGCAAACTATGCAATTCATTTGGAAAATGTAATTTCCATCCCTGCATACTAATCGATTTCTTCACAAACACCTGCTATCAGTTATGATAATAAAAATGCCACTCTGAATTGAAAAGGGGCCAAATAGAGCTTCCTAAGGAAATAACTTAAGTGTCTTTGAATGCCACTAAATGTAGTAATGTGCTTGTGTAGTGCCAACACTTTTTTTATCATTTGCATTTTCTGTGATTTTGCCCTATTACAACATCCTTCTTTCAAACGATGTCTCATAACCATTTCCTTGTGGATGGGTGAACTGAGTTGTCAGGAGTTGGTATCTCAGGGTGCAGAAGAGTCTTGATGTTGGCCTGCAGGATGTTAAAAAGCACTAGCTCGTGCTCCTGGGTATGCCCTGGGTCATTTCCGATTTTCTACGTCCCTGAAAACCGTAAAATTGGCCGCTCCTTGGTTTTGCACACCCATCTACACCAAATAAAATTTCCTTTATTCATTCTCTTCAGCCTCCAGTTCATTCCACGCACCATTGCCAAATGAATCTTCCTAAATCACCAATTCCCAGGCACCTTCAGCTCTCAATTGGCCACCCCACTGAGCTTGACCTTCCTGACAGCCCCCACGTGGCTCACCATTCTCTCCCAGCTTCCAGACTGACATTTGCCTTTTTGGTCAAGCCTCTCTCCTTCCTGCTCTGCATATTCTGCCTTCTCATCTCAGGACTTTTGCTTATGATCTTGCTTCTAACTGAGCCATCTGTCCCCAGTCCTGGAATTTTCATCTTCCAAAGCCCTCTTCTATTCTTCCAGTTTGCATTTTTCTTCCTCTTCCCTAAATTCCTATAGAGTGTTTTCCTTTGTCACATCCCACTCTAGGCCAGTGGTCATGCTGCTCTTCCTGTGAATGTGTCAGTTGCCTTTTAAATGTGTCAGTTTCTATTTGATTTTAAGTTATTTGATAGAAGAGACATGTTCTGTCCCCACGTCTTTTCATCTTTTTTTTTTTTTAAAGAGAGAGAGAGAGGGGGAGAGAGAGAGAGAATTTTAATATTTTTTTTTTTTAATCATCGGTGGACACAACATCCTTGTTTTGTACGTGGTGCTGAGGATCGAACCCGGGCCGCCCGCATGCCAGGCGAGTGTGCCATCGCTTGAGCCACATCCCCAGCCCCTGTCCCCACATCTTGTGATCCCATATTCTCAGACAGATGTGGGCACAGGGCAATATACAGTGAATGTTTGCTGACTAACTGATGCCTAATGGCTCGAGGTGGGGACTTTCCTGGTTAATTGCACGTTCTGTTTGATTAGTATTTCAGTGTGTGCTCCACATAGATAATCATTTTACAGAGTGGAATACCATAAAACACTTAACTGTAAAACTATCATTAACATAATTTGATGTTTGATATTTGTGGAGAGAATTCACTGAGGTCTCAGAGCACCTCAGTAAAGCCCAATGATCATTTTACTGCAGTGTGCAGGTGGAGCATCTGGGAGGCTGACCTCCTGTGGCCTTTGAATGCAGGAAATTGGGGCGGGGTTTGAAGTGAGCATGTACTGAGAGCCTGTTGCTCAGTGAGTGGCTCTCTTACATACCAGAAGTTACATCTACCAGGGAGTTTCTCATAACCAGCTTCTCGGATTTCCATCCACTTTTCTCTTGCTCACAAAAGTAGAATTTTGTGAGGGGGAGGGAGTGATGGGACACCTGTGGGAGAGTAGAGGGGAGAACAGGAGACTGGTTTTGAGCAGTTGGTAAACTAAATCTACAGGAACTGACAAGGTGGACAGCAAGGACTCTTGTGCTGGCCGTCTGTGTTTGGAGACCGTGCCAGCTGCTTACTTTGTGTGATCAAATAAGTATCTGCCTTCTCTGGGCCTCATTTCTTTCATCTGTAAGAATGGGGATCAGAACACCTTCATCCTAGGCTTGAGTGGGGAGTCAGGGTTAAGTGTGTCAGTTCAGATGAACCTCTTGGTCCAGGGTCTGGTGCTCTTTCAGTGTTCAACAGGCCCTTTTATTATTAGAGAGACCATGAGGCAAGAGGGTAGAAAGTATGGAGCTGGATTCCCCTCCTCTATCTTGGTTTTG